CTGTACTGAAGTATTTTTAGAACAGAGGAAAAGGAAGAGATGACTTTGGTTTTTCCTATAGACTCCTATGGAGAACTGCTTCCTGCTGATCTCTGGGGAGTTTAAGGTTTCATTGTACAAGTCATGGTGCTTTATACTAGGAGTAGGAAATGTCTGCTTATAAAAATGTTTCTTCCCTGTAGGAAAATCTGCTCTTCACTGGGCAGCTGCTGTCAATAATGTGGAGGCGACTCTTTTGCTGTTGAAAAATGGGGCCAACCGAGACATGCAGGACAACAAGGTACAATCTGTGGGCTCTGAGCTCGAGGAGGCTCGTAGCCCTGCCTCAGTTATAAGCCCCTTCCTGTTTCTATTTACAGCTTCTCTTATGATATACATAAAGATGGAAGCAGTTTGGGCAGACACTGGGTTTGGAGAGCGTGATGAGGACACTGGGCTTGTCCAGGCATGTGTCAGGACTGAGTTCTCTGCCCTCTCAGTACTCAGCTGACAGTAGGCTGGCTGTGGATAGCTTGGCACACCTTTCCTCTTCCCTGACATTTCCTTTTTCCAGTTGTCTCTTCTGTTCATACTTCTTTTTCTCTTGTTTTCTTTCTTTTTTCCCTCCCACTTTTTTTTTTTTCCTGTCCTTGGATACCCTGATGTTTTCCTGTTTGGTTTTCTCCCTGAGTTTTTTGTCCTGCTTCCTTCTCTTGTTCATCTTCTCTCAGTTTTCTTATCTTAGTCCTTTCTTGCACATGTTTTGTCTCTTCTTTCTTTTACTCTTTCCCTTATTTTTCCAAGTTCTGTGCATGCTTTAGTTTCTTCTCTTCCTTCCTTTCTTATTTCTAACTCCTTTTCCTATTAGAACCTTATTTTGATAAGCTCAGAACTGTTTTAAGTGAGTCTCCGGCTCAGGGGCATGCTTTATTTTATGAATTCCCAACTAAAGAGATATTCCCTCCAAGGGGCAAAATTGTTTTTTGAGGAGAGGTGAAATAATCGTACTCTTTTCATGTATAAATCACAGATATACATTCAGCACATTGATAGAGGCACAGCCTATCTGTGGTATTAGTATTTCATGGGGGAGATAGTTAGGAAAACATGTCTAAGGGGATGATCATAAGAAAAAATGAGAAACACTACTATATTCTCAAGAGTGTTATTAACGTGTTCTATGATGGGCCTTTTCTGTAGGAAGAGACACCTCTGTTTCTTGCTGCCCGGGAGGGGAGCTATGAAGCAGCCAAGATCCTGTTAGACCATTTTGCCAATCGAGACATCACAGACCACATGGATCGTCTACCCCGCGATGTGGCTCGGGATCGCATGCACCATGACATCGTGCGCCTCCTGGATGAATACAATGTGACCCCAAGCCCTCCGGGCACCGTGCTGACTTCTGCTCTCTCACCTGTCATCTGTGGGCCCAACAGGTCTTTCCTCAGCCTGAAGCACACCCCAATGGGCAAGAAGTCTAGACGGCCCAGTGCCAAGAGTACCATGCCCGCTAGCCTCCCTAACCTTGCCAAGGAGGCTAAGGATGCCAAGGGCAGTAGGCGGAAGAAGTCTGTGAGCGAGAAGGTCCAACTGTCTGAGAGTTCTGTAACTCTGTCCCCTGTTGATTCCCTAGAATCGCCTCACACATATGTGTCTGACACCACATCCTCTCCAATGATTACATCCCCTGGGATCTTGCAGGCCTCACCCAACCCTATGTTGGCCACTGCCGCCCCTCCTGCCCCAGTCCATGCCCAGCATGCACTGTCTTTTTCTAACCTTCATGAAATGCAGCCTTTGGCTCATGGGGCCAGCACTGTGCTTCCCTCAGTGAGCCAGTTGCTGTCCCACCACCACATTGTGCCCCCAGGCAGTGGCAGTGCTGGAAGCTTGGGTAGGCTCCATCCAGTCCCAGTCCCGGCAGATTGGATGAACCGCATGGAGGTGAATGAGACCCAGTACAATGAGATGTTTGGTATGGTCCTGGCTCCAGCTGAGGGCGCCCACCCTGGCATAGCTCCCCAGAGCAGGCCACCTGAAGGGAAGCACATAACCACCCCTCGGGAGCCCTTGCCCCCCATTGTGACTTTCCAGCTCATCCCTAAAGGCAGTATTGCCCAGCCAGTGGGGGCTCCCCAGCCTCAGTCCACCTGCCCTCCAGCTGTTGCGGGTCCCCTGCCCACCATGTACCAGATTCCAGAAATGGCCCGTTTGCCCAGTATGGCTTTCCCTACTGCCATGATGCCCCAGCAGGATGGGCAGGTAGCTCAGACCATTCTTCCAGCCTATCATCCTTTCCCAGCCTCTGTGGGCAAGTACCCCACACCCCCTTCACAGCACAGTTATGCTTCCTCAAATGCTGCTGAGCGAACACCCAGTCACAGTGGTCACCTCCAGGGTGAGCATCCCTACCTGACACCATCCCCAGAGTCTCCTGACCAGTGGTCAAGTTCATCACCCCACTCTGCTTCTGACTGGTCAGATGTGACCACCAGCCCTACCCCTGGGGGTGCTGGAGGAGGTCAGCGGGGACCTGGGACACACATGTCTGAGCCAACACACAACAACATGCAGGTTTATGCGTGAAAGAGGCTGCCTCCAGTGTAGAGACATAACTGCCTTTTGTAAATGCTGCTGAGGAACAAATGAAGGTCATCCGGGAGAGAAATGAAGAAATCTCTGGAGCCAGCTTCTAGAGGTAGGAAAGAGAAGATGCTCTTATCATTCACGTAATGCAGGAGAAGCAGTTCATCAGTTTCACTGGATATCAGCAAGGCTTATTGGGGGGCATGGCTCCTTCTAATCTAATAATCAAGACAAGTTCATGGAAATGCAAGATGAATACAAGCCTTGGGACCATGTTTACTGTCTTCTATTTGGAGAATAAGATGGATGCTTATTGAAGCCCAGACATTCTTGCAGCTTGGACTGCATTTTAAACCCTGTGGGCTTCTGCCATATCCATGAGAAGATTCTACACTAGAGTCCTATTGGGAATTGTGCCCCAGAATTCTGCCTGAATTGACCTACGCATCTTCTCCTCCTTGGACATTCTTTTGTCTTCATTTGGTGCTTTTGATTTTGCACCTCTCCGTGATTGTAGCCCTACCAGCATGTAATAGGGCAAGACCTTTGTGCTTTTAATCATTCTGGCCCATGAAAGAGACTTCAGCCTCCTTTCCCCTCCTGTCTTCCCAGCATCCCTTGGAGTCTCACAGGGGTTACTTTGGTATGGTTCTCAGCATAAACCTTTGAAGTATGTTTCTTTTGCAAATGGACATACTGTATTGTGTTCTCCTACATAGATCATTCCTAGAGAAAGAAGGGGAGCAGAATATTTTTCTTGAGCAAATTTTGGGGACAGGAGATCCCTTCAAGACGCTGCACCTTAATTTCTCTTGTCTGTATACAAATCTTCATATAAACTTTACCAGGAAGAAGGGTATAAGTCTGTTGTTTTTCTGTGAGTGGGCCTGGACAGTGTGAAGTTTTATCCTTGATAGTCTAGTTACTATGATTCTCCACTTTTTTAAAACCAGAAAAAGGATTGGAATGTTAGAATGACCAAGAGACAAGCTAACTTGTGTAAGAGGAAGTTACCCACCCGCAGGTCCCCCAGCTTCCTACCCAACATTCCGTTCACTGCCTGTATGGAACACATTTGTCCCAGATCTGAGCACTCTAGGCCTGTTTCACTCACTCACCCAGCATATGAAAGTAGTCTTTTAATTGTTGAGCCTTTCCTTTCATCTCCACAGAAGAAAATGTCTGAAATGTTGTACCCTTGCCATTTAGGACTGAACTTTCCTTAGCCCAAGGGGCCAAGTGACAGTTGTCTCCTTTTTGTCCGGTGATCAGTGTCTACCTCCTGATTATCTTTCTGCTTAAAGGCCTGCTGACCAAGCTTTCTTTCACACTGTGTGGTCTGAGTTACTGGTATACCCAGTATGTTCTCACTGAAGACGACTTTCTGTGTTCAAGTGAAGGAAATGGAAAGTCGGGCTTGTTTTCTAGGGTCTAAGCCCTATGAGAAGGTTGGAAAAGGAGGAACTATATAGCAGCCTTTGCTATTTTCTGCTACCGTTTCTTTCCTTTGAAGTGGCCATGACATTCCCTTTGGCAACTAACATAGAAACTCACCAGAACGTTTTCCTTTCCTAGAGTCACCTTCTAGATGATAGTGGACAACAACTCATTGTCGTCATTCTCATGTTCAGACTGTGATAGCCCCTCACCTGAATCCGCTCTCTGTATCCATGTTCTTGGCAATTTCCTTGACTGTCTTTTAATTCCAGAAGCGTCTTAGTCAATTGTAGAAAAAGAATAGTTTTCTTTTTCTTACCCTTGGGCCAGTTAATAATTCGTCCTTGGCTACACTGCCACTTCTGTACAGTGCTGCGATGCCCATGACGCCTGCAAAATAATTTCTGCCTGGGCATTTTGTAGATATTAATAGGTGGATTCCTGACTCTTGGTTTGAATGACAGTTCTCATTGCATGGCTGCAGATATACATCAGTGCACCCCACTTACCTGATTTGTCTGTCGATGGCCCCATATGGAAAAATCTGTTGGCATAATAGTTCACAAATGGTTTTTTCACTCCTATTCAAATTTATTGGACCAACAAAAATAATTAGTTCTGCCCTGAGATAAGCAGATTAAGTTTGCTCATTTTCTGTTGTATTCTCTCCACGTGGCAACAATCCGTCAGCTTCTTTCATAGTGTGCAGACATTTTATCATTCCAAATGGTGACTCTCTGCCCTTGGACCCATTTATTATTCACAGATGGGGAGAACCCATCTGCATGGACCTCTCTGGACACAGCATACCTGCCCCTTCCTGCCCTCCTGCTCCTTCCCCACTTCTGGAAGTATTAGCTGTTGATCCAGCCACTTGGATATTTTATATCCTCCCTTTTCCCTAAGCACAATGTTGGACCAAATTGCTTGTTTCTTTTTCTCGGAATACTTTAATTTGGATCCTTTGGGTTTGGAGAAAGGGATTGTGAAAGCTGTCATTATAGACAACAGGTTTCAGTGAGGAGGAGGAGGAGGAGGACAACACTGCCTTTCAGACATTTTACTGATCTCTTAAAGAACTCTTGAATTGTGTGGTATCTAATAAAAGGGAAGGTAAGCTGGATAATAACTTTCTTATTTGGATTCTGAATTGGAGACTCAGTTTTTACAAGACACATCTTTTATGCCATGTATAGATCCTCTTCTGCCATTTTTGGTTTATTTTTATTTTTATAAATTCTTCCTTTCTTTGACTCCTCTTCTGCCTGCCTTTGGGGATAGGTTTTTTGTTTGCTTATTTGCTCCCTCTGTATGTGATGGTGGGGGAGGGAGAGGTGGGAGGAAGAGAGTCTGAGAATTAAAGATTTCAGTGTAAGCAATCAGCTATGATGCTCAAATCCATTGCATCATCTTATTGAATTTGCCAGTTTGTGATTCTTGCATAGTAAAGAACCAAAGGTATAATGTTTTGTTGAGAGGTGGTTTGGGGGTTTTGACCCTAACCAATACATTGAATGTATGATGACTATTTGGGAGGACACATTGATGTACCCAGAGGCCCCCACTAATAACTGGTACTATGGTTATTTCCTTGTGTACATTTCTCTTAAAAGTGATATATCTGTTTGTATGAGAAACCCAATAACCAATAAAAATGACCGCATATTCCTGACTAAACATAGTAAGGAAAATGCACACTTTGTTTTTACTTTTCCATTTCATGCTAAAGGTAGTTAAGATGAAATTTATATGAAAGCATTTTTATCACAAAATAAAAAAGGTTTGCCAAGATCAGTGGTGTTATATTTTTTATTTTCCAATACTGCATCCATGGCCTGGCCATGTTACCTCATGAGACCATAATCTACTGAGAAAAACATTTTCTTTTCTTTCTGAATCCCACAAAGACTAGCGCCAAACTTCTTTTTTTTTCTTCCTTGAGTTAGATCATAAATAAATGCTTCCGGAGACAAAGCATCTGTGAAATAGGAAACATCACAGAACTGAGCACTCTTCTGTGCACTAGCCACAGCTGGTGACAGACAGTTGCTCAGGGACAAGGTGCCTTCCAATTTTCCATGGAAAGTAGCTGCTATAGCAGGAATTGGGAATTGGGATATAAATAATAATATTATGCTGTTATGTAAACCATTGATCTGTAACATTCCTCAAGTGAAATTTGCATAGAACTTAATATACAGGATTATAAAATAATGATTTATGTATAAATTTGTAACAAGTTCACATACACTTATTTATAAAGTGAGTAGATATCTGAACATGAATATTTGGTGTTGATAATATGTATTGCATTAGCAGCTTCATATCAACCCTAACATCTTATTTCCATTTTCCATTATTTTCCAGAAACTTTATCAATCACACATGCATAATTATAAATGATAACAGTTTTTTATATGTTGGTAACAGTATTCTTTTATAAATGACTTGAAATCTTAGGATATGCTTCTGTTAAGTACATAAAGGAGCTTTGTTCAAGATCTGCACACTTAAGGTATTAACATAATTTAGCATTAATTGGTTATGCTCAGAATATTTTAATTTTATATAAAACATATTTAAGTCTTCATGTTGGGTTTTATAATGGTGGAAGAATAAAATGAATTTGAGAGCTAAGGAATGGTCACCTGTGCAGGCCGGCCACTCAGAGTTCAAGTTGCCACTTGCAAACTATTTGGGAACTAAATTGCTTCATGAAAATCTGCTTCAGTGGATCCAGGCTGCAGGCCATTGGGTGGCTGACCACATCCTGTCCCTGCAATTATAAGTCTTGAATCCTAGCCTATTATGCAGGGAGGACTCGGACACTCCAAGATGTGAAGCCAAAAAAGGAGAGCAGGGCTAAAGCAAAGTGCCACCCCATCACAGAGCTGGCGCAGTCGGCTTGGACGCTAGACCATGAGCATGCCAGGAGAGGGGCTGGTGCCTCTCAGTCATGCAACTAAGAAGCTTTACAACCCAAGGAGAGGGGCTGGCTCCTTTATCAGAGCAACCTCCTTAATGCCCACATGCTTTTCAGGATGTGGGCAGTGGGGAACTGTGAGCCTGTTACTGCCTCTGCCACTGTGTCTTTTAGCCACAGGGTATATGAAATTTGTGTGTGTGTGTTTGTGTAACAGAATTTTTCCTTCTTTTGACTTAGCACCTAGAGAAACACATTTAAAATATTTGCACCAGTCAAGTCTCAACCACAAAGTGAGGGCACACTCAAATTAGGATACATCAAATAGGGCTATTTACAAAGGATTAATTATGAAAGTGTGTGTGAGATGTAGGGGACCAACACACAGTAGTGCAGAAACCCTCTGTAGAATCAGCAGAGTGATTTTCCACTCCTGGGCGCAAAAGGCCAGAAGTCACTAGGACCTGGAAGCATAGTCTTGTAGAGCACGGGTCCCCAGTCCCTGGGCCACGGGCTGGATACCATAGTCTGTTAGGAACTCTTAGGAACCAGGCTGCACAGCAGGAGGTGAGTGGCAGGCAAGTGAGCATGACTGCCTGAGCTCTGCCTCCTGTCATATCAGCAGTGGCATTAGATTCTCA